AAGGAAAATGCATCGCGAGCATTGCTCCCTTCTAAATCAGATTTCCCAGAAATACACAGTCTTAAGAGCCACGCAGACAAGCAATTGATTTTCACCTACTTAATGGGGGCCATTAGGCTGCATCTCGAATCACGGGCAGCGTGGGGGAGAGCAAGGAAGGCATTTTCAGATTTGTTTGTTGATTTCAAGTTCAAATGATAAAAAGGGGGCTCTATAATAACAAACTATAAACACATTCTTATTCCAACTAAGGAAAACACTTTCTTTTAGTATGCTTGTAAAAACTGCAGAAAAATACAGCCACAGAGTTTAATGGGGAAGATACTGAAGCAAGCTTCACTTCTGGAATTGCCATTAAAATCACTGAAAGTCTCTGTAACAGGTAGCATCATTCCATATTCAAAGAAAAAATTAAAAAGCACATTTTAGGAATCTGTGCATACTGTGCTTTTTGGTACAGGATAGCTCAAAGGAATAACTACCTCCTCCTTTCACCTTTCTTTTTAAAAAGTGGCCTCCAACAGTAAAAAAAAGTTTCAAACATTGTTTGTCCTAGAAGTTATAGAACACTTGAAATTAAAGCAAGAAAACAACTAAATCACAGTGCTAGAAATTAAATGTCTATACTCCGCCATTGATCTTAACATGGTCTTTCCACAGCACTTAACACTGACTCAGAACACAACTAATGCAGAAGTTTCTCACCTCTCACTCCTGCAGAGTAATCTTCCTAGGTCAGGAATTAGGTCATAACATTACAATAATTACCGCATACAATCCCACTAACCAGTAAATCTCTACAACTAGAAATGTTTTGAATGAAAGCCCACAACTATATACCATTATCCTAGCGGAATTCAGTTGAGGTTGTAGCTTGTTTGACAGCTGCAGTGTTTTGCTCATGATTGGTTTCTATGTGATGACATATGGGTAAAGAAATTCAAGGAGTCAGTAACACCGTTTCTCCCAAAAAGCTAAGTATTCTGGCATTCTCCCTTCTCCTGAGCCATCCAAGGAAAGAAGGGGAAACACTACCTAAAAATAGGGCAAGTTGCATTACCCATGACTGTCCTAAAACCTGAACTAAAAATGGAAGCTTTTATTGTTCAACAGAAAATTATTCTACTGGTTCAGGAAAAGCAAGTGGAATGGGGGATGAGATGCTTAGGTTGTGCTCCCCACAGTAAGTTTTAGCTGGCTGAATGTCTTTTAAAAGAAGCTTTTGAGGAACAACTGTCTTGAATATTTGTATTTAAAAAAATTATTAACCACATCACATACAGATTTGCTGTCTTACTATTGCCAATAATTTAAACTTGACATACCTTCAAAGAGCAAGCCAAAACCACTTATATATTTTAGGAGGGAAAAAGGTAAGCTTCAAGTATTTTACAATTACAACATATGCTACGTATTTTCACTAAATTAAATGTGGCAGAGAGTCTCTGAAGAGTTTGCAAAATTGCACAATTCAGAAGTTTTAAGATACTTTTCAAAACGAAAATTCTAAAGTGTCACTGAAATGCAAAGTGTCGTCTGGACTCTCAAAGTAACAGCTTGGACAATGTAAGAGGCAAACAGGCAATGTTACTGCACAACTTCAAGCAACTACTTCACTATTCTATTGGCATTCTAAAAAATTAGTTTTCATTAACCTTAACTAAAAACACAAACACCACTTTGTTGTATTTGTAAAAAACATCACTTCCCTGCATTCACTGAAAATAAGCATACAAAAAAAAAGAACATAACATTATCAAAAAGTTATTTTAGTTTCTCTTTTGTAAGTAGTAAGACACATACCCTTTACAAGAATCATACAAAGGATCTGCTAAAAAAATTTCACTTATTACAGCCTTGGTTTAGTCTCTGAAAACATTCATTAGGTGGACCTCAACGAAAAGGCACTGAAGCCACAAAATACATGCGACATGTAAATACAGTTCCTTGTTTTCCACATGCACTGATAAAGGTTCAACATGAGAGAACTCTTATTCGTCAAGACTTTGATAACCACACAGTACTAGAAAATTGTATTAGCCTTACATTTTCCTTAAGAAATGTATTTTTAAATATATCCTTGAGTCAGGAGTATTTCATTAGTTGTCATCTTAGTTAAGTGTTTTTTCCTTTCATACAGGGGCTAGGAAATACTTCAACTGAACAGGTCGGTTTGATTTTATCAAACCAACAAAAACAAAGAAGCCACTAATTTGTAACATAACTGATAAACAGACAACTTGCATGCCAGCATGACTAGAGATACCAAACACTTCGCTACACTGGGGCAAGTAATCTAAGGCATATAGAGGAAAACTGTGGTTAAAGTTAACAAAATGTGTTATAAAGTCACATCAAAACAGCACATCTCTGATCAACCTGAATGTCTTACAATAATATGTACAAATGAAAGATTACCATTCTTAGAGCACATGAAGACTAAGCTAAAACATCAAGACGTAGCTACATGGACTTTCTGTATCTCAGATGCATCCTACCTGATCCACTGAACTGGCTGCTTCCTAGTGTAGTAGGTCTGGTTTTCCCACTATTAACAGGTGGAGAAAACATCTGCAAAACAAGAAAAAAAGATGCATTTAAATTGGCTTTGAAACTCTGTAGTAAATTATTAATGTAAAGTTGAAGTTAATAGGAAACAATTATTAATTTTTCTGATAGAAAATAAACAGAATGTAAGATGTATGTTTAGACCCATAAAACCAAAGTACTCCTTGCAATTTATTAAAACCACCAAAATCTTTTTTCTCTATGAACACAACTTAAAAAAAATAAAATTAAAAGGATACCTATTACTACTATGGCACAATTTACAATAGTTATATATCTTAAATTTTACTACTGAAAATATACTTCTTTCTGATCTGTGAATTTAAAGTCACTGGATAAAGACAGCTTTTGAGAGGCTGTAGCTTTCTGCTATATTTATAAATGAAGCACCTTTTAGGAATCTGTTAAAACATCACACAGAAAACACCTATAATTTTATAAGCCAAAACTATCAATTAATAGTTACTTACAGGAATCTAATTTTTTTTTTAAGCAAAAGAAAAGCCAAAGTACCAGAGCCACACGCCAGCTTAACAAACGTTAATTATTAGATTATGCCACCACTGGGTCAGCCTGATTTTAACCAGTTAAACCAATTGACCCAGCTGGTATTACAGTATTAAATCTGGAAGTCTAGACATTCCATCAAAGTTCAGGTGTCCAACTCGGCTGGGACGGACCCAGCCCTGCAGCTGCCGCCCCTACTCCTCGGTTCGCTGGACC